GGCCCCCCCCCCCGGCCCCCCGGGGGGGGGGGCGGGGCCGGCGCCCCCGCCGGGCCGCGCCTCACACAGCCTCCCGCGCGCTCCCGCCGCGCACCGCCCCGCGCCCGGCGTGCCCATTGGCCGAGCGCCTCCACCCCTCCGCCGCGGGTAGCCAATGAAACGGCGCAGCCCGCGGGAAGGCGGGGCACTGGAGGGCGTCACGTGTACCTAACGTGAGCGGCCATCCGGAGGCAGTTCGCGCACGGAAAGGGGCGGGGCGGCTCTCTCCTTGAGTGACGGTGGCTTCGACCTATCAGCTTTTCTACGGCGCCCCCGATGGGCGGGGCTCGGCTTTGGTTGCCGCAAGAGGCGGGGGGGCGGGTTTTGGACGGCGCGGTTGCTATGACGGCCAGCATTGGGGCTCCGCCCCCTCGGCCGTCGCCATCTTGTTGTTGATTCGAACGGCGGGGGGCGGGCGGCGGGGAGCGGCGGCGCTGGTGGCCCGGTGTCGCCGGCCTCCGGCTGGGCAGGCAGGGCCGGCCCCACGCGCATGCTGCCGTGAGGGGAGGGAGCGAGAACCGGGCGCGCTGTCGTGAGGGGAGGAAGGGGAGCACCGGGCACGGCCCCGTGAGGGCGGGTGGGAGAGCCCGGCGCGGTCCGATTGAGGAGGAGGAGAGCCAGGCGCGGCCCCTCGGGAGGGGGCACGCACAGGCACGGCCCCGTGAAGAGCTGGGGGGGTCCCGCGGCGCGGGGAGAGCTCTGGGAGCTGGGCTCGGCAGGGGCAGCCCGCGGGCAGCGCGGTGCTCGGGCAGGGCCGCGCTGCTCCTGCCCGGGGCCCTGCCCGGCCAGCGGATCTAGCGTCCCCTCCCTTTGTGCCCTTTCTTTCTACAGGGGCAGCGCGCAGGAAGGAACTCGGCAAACCGCGGTGGTAACATGAAACCAACATGGTGAGGAAGCTGGTGGGGTTGGGGGCCCTTCCTGCGTCCCAGCGTACGGCCACCCCCGCGGAGGAGGGGGTGCGGGAAGGCTCTGGTCATGCTGGCTGCCCCAGTGGTTACTGGAAGATGCCTGGCAGTCCCTGGAGACTTAGGTGCTCATGGGTCTGCAGACCTGGGCCGCAATCAACAACCTTCCCTGGGGTTTCCAAGTAGGACTTGGATTAGGAGAGGTGGTACTGACTCCTGTTCAGTTTTCAGCTACTCTAGATTTAAACTGGTGCCAGGTTCAGTGTCCCTCCATCTTAAAGCTCTGAATCAGCAAGGCCCCCATTTTTCTTTCCAGCAATATGTTTTAGTATCTGCTGCCTTTCTCATTTCAGCCTGTCTTGCTGTGTTTCTGCTCCACCTGCTTTTCCTCCCTTCAAGTTTACCTAGCTTAACTTGGTGTTCAGAGCTTCTGAAGCTGAATTCCAAGATTGGAAGCACTGAATGGTGGCAGAACGGTGTGGGCTTGGGTCTCTGTTCATTCTTAATGTAATATTTCTATAGTCGGTAGGCCTATTTGTGTAAACTTGGTAGCTTGTCTCACAGAATAATATAGTATAATGTCTCGTGCAAGTCTCTGTGCTGAGCTGTCACCTGCAGCTGATACATGGACCTATGTGCCTATGGTCAGATATTTGATAGAGAAAAATACTATATTCTTGTTATATATCACTGAACTAAGACTTTGATTTCCTTTTTACAGAAATTCTGTCAGGAGCTTGGAAGCGCTTTAGAATTAGATATATCAGTTATTAGATGTCATCACTATAACCCGAAATAGGTCTATTAGGGACATCCTAATCCTGTGTAACAGTTTCTTGTTATTGAGATTGAGTTAGTTAGTTTAGCACTGACCAAAGGTAAGTGCTTTGTTTTGGAGCTGGAAGGAAAGTGGTGCGTTTTGAAGAGATTAAGTGTGAACTCTGTATATAGCAAGATAACATTGGGTTGCTGTTTCAACTGCATAAAACTCTTGTTTTGTCAATGTTTTGAATTGTCCTAATGCTAATTTTTCTTCTGATAGCATTAGAGAGTGTTTCTTTACTCTCCCCAGCTTTTTCAGCACAACCGTTTCCAGGTACATGAACGAACAGCCTATGCCACCCTGGTTAGAGCCTGTTAAGCGGATCTGAAGTGTCCTTTTCATAGCCTTGCCTTTGTTTCCTGTCTAATAAGGACTTTTGGGAGAGCAGGGGAAGTGATCCTTGGCTCCTTGAGGGGGAAGCTGATGTGTACGAGGTCATTACCATAGGAATCTCTGATGACCCCAGGGGTGGAAAAGGTGGGATGTGCTGGTAGGACCCTCTTCTGAACAGTGCACCTGTCTTTCCTTGGTTAGTTTCTACTCTGGTTATCCAGTAGGCACCTTGTGGCAGTTTTGTATGTTTCTTACATAGAAAAAGAGCAAGTGAGTACAATTCACTGTTGAGATGAGAAAGGGGACAGTTTCTAGGATCAGCTTCCAGTCACCAGGAGTTTTGGTTGTGCCACCTCCTGTGTGTAGCTTCACAGTCACTTTAAGCTCATTTAGGTATAGACTGCAACCAACAGGATTCTTACCCTGTCGCTGGTGCCAGCTGGGGTGTTTGTGTGGGTAGGAGTCAGAGTTCCCTGACTTATGAACTGATCAAACTGAAGACAAACTGACTTTTTTTTTCTCCCCAGCTTTGTGGGTGCTTAAATGATTTTGCTGGTGCAAGGGGCAATGGTGGGAACATGGGGCTGGTGGTGGAATGGAGTCTTGTTCTTGTTCAGGGTAACCTGCACTGTGACTGTGGAACAGTGCAACAATGTGTTTTTATATATTAGTTATATAAAAATATAATTTTAAAATACATATTTACATATATTTAAAAATTAAATGGAACAATAGCGTCCATCCTTCTTTCCTGCTACTTTTGTGAATAGTATCATCGTGTGCTTCATCATCAAGATGACAGTACTGGGCATGTCCTTCTTATAAAAATATTCTAGAAAGCAAAATTAGATGTGCTTTGGGATCTCCTCTCATGGCAGATTGTGTAAGTCAACTGACTTGCAAGTTACTCTGTGTTGCATTGCATGTAGTTGGAAGTCAAGGTTAAATAGCAAGCACTCAGAGGTCGAAAAATGCCCAGGCTGAAGTAGTACTTGCACCCTTAATCAGGTAATTAGCCTTCTGAACAAGCATTATTTCTTCTTAATCATGCATTGCATGCTATTCTCATCCCTTCTGAGCTGCCTAGTTTGTTTCTTCTCTCCTTCCCTCCCCCATGTCTGGAGCTTATTCATTTTGGGTAGAATTATCAAGCTCTGAAAATGTGACCTTGTTGAGCTTGAGTAGTGCGAGATGACGAGCCCTGTACAAGCTTGGAGCTGTTTGTTGACCATCTGCTTACAGGACAGTCTCTTTGGTTCAGTGGATCACCAAATGTTTGTAAAAAGGTTTGATCACTTGTCTTTTTAGATTTCAGTTTTTAGTTAATTCTCTGTGCCTAAAGGTTGTCGTGGATCTGGTGAGTTCTGACTGGCACGCTGAGGTAGGGGGTGGCACTGTCTCGTGGTTTCCATTGTAATAAGAAATGTAGGTGGTAAGTTTGAAGTTGAATATTCACAGCCTGTGTTCTAGAGGAGGTATGTTTCTTCCGTCAGTGTTTGATATGCAGATACTGAAGCCACAGAAAATCTGATAGGGGCCTTGTTTGGGCTGTTACTCAGGCATTGCCTTGTGACCCAGGCACTCCACTTGCTGCTGTTGGGGTCCCCCGGTCTGCCCATCGTGAATTAGCTTGTAATGTGTTCGAGAGGTGCATTGTGGTTGAGTGTTAATGCTGGGATGTATAGTCTCAGAAGTTAGTATTGACAGAAAACTGCAGCCTTATTTGTTTACTCTTGCATTTGATGGTGTTACACTGTCTGTCTTCGTGCTGGGCAGGTTTAGATTTGAACTGGACTTGCAGAGTGTGTGTGTGACAGCTCAGTAGAGCCGTGGCTCTGTGCTTGCTTGTTTATATAATGTGACTTGCCTAGGAATATTGCTTTTATTT